CCTTAAATGCAAAGATTATACAGAATGCAGTACGGCCTAGTGATTCACATCTCGCGAGGAAACTAAATCCTGTATAGTAGAGTAGACTAGGCCTGTCGTCAGTATATATGGTGTGACAGAAAGCAAGGAATTGTGCTGGAAGGAACCTATATACCTCCCCAGATTTTGCAAGGTTCTTACTTTGTGTAATTAGCCCCAGGGAAATGTGTTATGTTCTAATGAATGTTGCAGTTTAAATATGTGTATATTTGGGCCCTGGGGTGGAGCACCTGGAGAGTAGGGTGGGCCAGTGCTCCACTCCACATTTTGGAAGTTGCTTGGTGAGAAGTCCAGTTCTGGAGTTTGAATCCTAATCTAACTCACCTGAAAAGGATTGGCAATTACCAGTGCTATTAAGTACTCCCCTGCCAAGGAAGAAGGGAGATTGTGCTTGGTTTCTGTGAGTGGAAACAGAGAGCTGAAAACCCTGAAGCAGTAAGGCTGTTTATGTTTATGTTTATGTTTATGTTTATGTTTATGTTTATGTTTATGTTGGGAAATGGACAAGCCATCCAACCCAGTTAGTTGATTATTTTGTTTAGTTAGTGCTCAGAAGAGCAAGGCTTTTGTTTGATATATTTTGTTACCTTTATACCTTACTGTGCATTTATTTTGGAACCTCAATAAAAGAGCAAGTCAGTTTACCTCATCCAGCGTGTGAAGTGTCTCTAAAGCCTGAAAAGACTGTGTGTAACACCCCAATCCCTGGACAAGGTACCAAGGGAAAGGAGTACTTTTGTCACATATGGTGGAGAATGCGGGCAGCACACGGCAAAGTCTGTAAGTAGGGAGAAAGAGACTGCTGAGAAAATGGAGGATCAGGGCCGGTGCTTGGATTTTTAGGTACATAGGCGAAGATGCATTTTTCCGCCCCCCCCCTCAAAAAAAAAAATCTTCACCTATGTGCCTCTTAACCAGCCCCTCTCCCCTCCCTGACCATTAGTAGTGCCTTCCCTTCCCTGTCCCTTAGTGTTCTTCTCCCCCCCCCCACTTTTCCCTGTCTCTTGGTGTTTCTCTCCCATTCCCTCCCTGTCCCTTGGTGCACCCCACACCCCTTTAGTGGTCACACTCCCCTTCCTGGTGTGCCTCCTACCTCTATTGTTGCATTGCCGAGTGGAGCAGATCCCCTAAAGGAGCTTCAGTTTTCTGTACCCGGCCGGACTGACAGGGAGTGCTCTCTATGTGAGCACCTCCTGTCAGTCTGGCCAGGCACAGGAAACAGAAGTTCCTGTACCGCGCTCTGCTCCGCTACACTCTGTACACACTGACAGTCACACACTCAATGACAAACACACAGACGTCACTGACAGACACAGACTCATTGATCTGACACACACTCACTCATTGACACTGACAGACCCACACTGATTGACACTCATTGACAGACACACTGATAGTCACACACAGACTCAATGACAAACATACTCTCACTGATTTGACAGACACACACTCATACACTGACAAACACACTCATCATACACTGACAGACACACTCATACACTCACATGCACACACACTCATGCAATCACTCACAGACACACACACTGTCACTCACACACACTGTCGCTCACAGACACACACACACTGTCGCTCACAGACACACACACACTGTCACTCACACACACTGTCGCTCACAGACACACACACACTGTCACTCACAGACACACACACTCTGTCACTCACAGGCACACACACACTGTCACTCACAGACACACACACACTCTGTCACTCACAGACACACACACTCTGTCACTCACAGACACACACACACTGTCACTCACAGACACACACACACTCTGTCACTCACAGACACACACACACTGTCACTCACAGACACACACACTGTCACTCACAGACACACACACACTGTCACTCACAGACACACACACACATCACATACATTCACTAATTATTTTTATAACTACATATTTTCCACCCAGCCTCCCTACCTGGAGAGCTGGTGTGGATGATGGATCGGTCCCTGAGAGCTGGGGGGGCTGGTGCTGCTGGGAGGCGTGCGGCAGTGCTGTGATCAGGCGCGCGAGGGAGCTCTAATCTCCACCCTCTCCGCTCCCTCGCGGGCCGCCTACTGATGCTGCGGGATGACGTCATATTCCGGCTCCCGCGGCATCAGCAGACAGCGCGCGAGGGAGCGGAGAGGGTGGAGATTAGAGCTCCCTCGCGCGCCTGATCACAGCACTGCCGCACGCCGCGCCGGGGGTCGAGATGGTGGCCGGGCAGGAGGGAGAGCTTCCCTCCTGCCGGTCACTGAAATATTGCGCCCCCAGAGCCGGTGCGCACTAAGGCGGCCGCCTGTGCCGCCTTATGGACGCGCCGGCCCTGTGGAGGATGTCATGAAAGCTTTGCTCCAGTCCACTGCTGTACAGCAAGAGACAAACAGGAGGACTGCAGAGACTAATGCAATACAGCAAGAGAGCATTTCAATGCTGCAGCAGCTTGTACTGGCTCAAAAGGAAAATACAGATGCTTTATTCAAGCAAGTTGAAGCAACACAGGCAGCAGCGCATCAAGTGCTCAGAGAGGAGCAGCAGCGTGCCATATGTGTCATACAGCAGGAGATCCAGAGTCTATCACAAAGGCTGGCCAGGGATGCCACAGACTTACCACAATGTCCAAAGGTGATCAGAGTGAGTCACTACTTGCAAAAGATGGTATCCACAGATGATGTAGAGGCCTATCTGATGGCATTTGAGCGAACCGCTGAGCGAGAAGGTTGGCCTGAAGCAGAATGGGCAAGTCTGCTAGCACCGTTTCTTACTGGTGAATCCCAGAAAGCATACTATGATCTGGAACCAGCGGAAGCCAGTGACTACAAGAAGCTGAAAGCAGAAATACTGGCACGCCTGGGAGTGACAACAGCCGTCCGTGCCCAGAGATTTCATTCATGGACTTACAGCCTGGATAAAGCGATTCGTTCCCAGATGTTTGACTTGATACACCTTGCCAGAAAATGGTTGCAGCCAGAGATCAACTCACCCAGCCGCATTGTGGAGCAACCGGTGATGGAAAGATTCCTAAGAGGCTTACCTATTGGGCTTCGTCGGTGGGTCAGCCAGAGCAATCCCCAAACAGCTGACCAATTGGTTGAATTGGTTGAACAGTATATAGCAGCGGGAGAACTGCTTCAACCTCCTGGCCAAGAGAGACCCAAGAATCCGAAAACCTACAACCCCAGCAAATCTGGTAAGACTGTTCCAGGGAAAAGGGGGTCTTTTGATGAGAGAACAGGGTCTTATTACCCAAGAGACAATGTTAAAAGAGAAAAAGACTTTGGGAGGTGGGAAGAGCCTACAAATGAATCAAAAAGTACTCCTTTCCCTTGGTACCTTGTCCTGGGATCGGGGTGTTACACACAGTCTTTTCAGGCTTTAGAGACACTTCACACGCTGGATGAGGTAAACTGACTTGCTCTTTTATTGAGGTTCCAAAATAAATGCACAGTAAGGTATAAAGGTAACAAAAATATATCAAACAAAAGCCTTGCTCTTCTGAGCACTAACTAAACAAAATAATCAGCTAACTGGGTTGGATGGCTTGTCCATTTCCAAACATAAACATAAACAGCCTTACTGCTTCAGGGTTTTCAGCTCTCTGTTTCCACTCACAGAAACCAAACACAATCTCTCTTCTTCCTTGGCAGGGGAGTACTTTATAGCACTGGTAATTGACAATCCTTTTCAGGTGAGTTAGATTAGGATTCAAACTCCAGAACTGGACTTCTCACCAAGCAACTTCCAAAATGTGGAGTGGAGCACTGGCCCACCCTACTCTCCAGGTGCTCCACCCCAGGGCCCAAATATACACATATTTAAAGTGCAACATTCATTAGAACATAACACATTTCCCTGGGGCTAATTACACAAAGTAAGAACCTTGCAAAATCTGGGGAGGTATATAGGTTCCTTCCAGCACAATTCCTTGCTTTCTGTCACAATGGCTATAAAACCTAGGGTAAAAAACTAGGAAAATAAGTGTCTGAGGCTTTGGCTGTATAAGGTGAAGAACTGACTATGAATGAGGGGTATCAGGCCAGAAGTGTAATATGCTCATGTAGAGTGTTACCTCACTCCCAACATATTTAGAGGTGTTCATATGCTGTGCTATCGCGTGTCCAGGCATAGGAGGGGGGGAGAGGAAGTGGGTATAGTAAATGTGAAAGCCTGTTTGGCTCCTTGACGGCCATAGGGCTAAAAGAGAGGTGTAGATTACCCCATGAGTAAGCAGTGGAGCTCTAGCACAATTACAATGGCTATCCTAACATAAAGGGTAAAGAACAAAATATATATAAAAAAAGGGAATAAAAAAAAGAAAAGATAAAAAAGAAACGAAGGTGTATATGCAACACAAAAAGTAAAAAGTCATATCATATCTGGAATGGTCTCCATTGGTAGATCTGGGAGCATTCTGGTGGTCCTGGTGAGGACAGTAATGGTTGCTTTCTGAAGCAAAGCCTTTCGGGTCACTTCCCTCGGAATCGTTGGATGCTGAGTTGTACGAGGGGAAAATTCCTCTATTGTCAAGAGGTCCAGGTGTGCCAGTTCCGAGCCAGTTGGCTTCCGGGGCCCAATCAGGCCAAATTTGCTCAGATGGGTTTCCAGTTTGGCATAGTTCCGTGCTTTGTAAGAGTTGTCCAGATGGGTGAATTGAAGCAGCGGATGTATTCCCAAACAGTACTGGATCCCCTCAGAGCGGAGGAGTTGCAACAGCAGCTGTAATGATCTGCGCAATGTGATAGTGCTGCGGGTGAGATCCGGAAGCAGCGTTAGAGATGAGCCCTTAAAATGCAAGGGAATTTTTTTATCAAGTAGCTGAAAGGATAAAGGCTTTATCCTGCAGGGTCTGGAAGCGGATTATTAAATCTGCGTGAACAGCCACTGGTGCTGTAGTGGGCTTTGGCAGGCGGAACAGGCCATCCATCTTCACCGCCTTTGCCTGTTTTGCCTGCAACAGTGTCCTGAACAGCCTTCAAATATAATGGGGCAAGTCAGGCAGGCCCACTTTGTCTGGGATACCACGGATTTTCAGGTTATATCACCTCTTCTGGTCTTCCATAGCCTCAACTTTATTAGTGACGGCTGTTTGTTGTTTTTGCATGTTTGCAATTTTGTGTTCCACGCAGGTTATCCTGGAATCTTGGGTACTCGAGATAGCCTCCAAAAGGGTAATCCGTGAGGTGACACTTTCAATTGTGGTCTTGAAGTAGGCCATGTCTGCTGCGGTATTAGCTCTCTGTTCTGCAAACATAGCTTTTAGCTGGAGTGCGGTAATCGGGTCGCAAGCATCGGGTTGCTTGCCAGGTGGTCTCAACAGTGGACCAAATGATGTTGCTGCCCCTGGGTCGAAGGGGGTATCCTCCGAGGAGTAGGAGGACACTTCCCCTTTCAGTGCCATCTTGTCCCATGTGGACCTTTGAGACCCCCGCAGGAGTTCCCCAATATCACGGCTCGTTGGGCCCTTATCGTGCCCTTACCTTTTCATGCTACTCTCTTACCACTGAGGAGGTGCTGTGTGCTCAGGTTTGTCGCCTTATTACCACCAGAATTACTTATTTTAGCCTGCTTGCCACGGAGCCTGAGTAGATGCGTCTGCTCTGTTGCTCAGTTGGCTTTGCCCCCCTTGTGTATGTTTTTTTGCCTGGATATCTATGTCTACATGGCTTGGGAGGAAAGACACACAAAGGGATCTGGAGGGGAAGGACACACAAAATGGACTAAGAGGAGAAAGAGCCACACAGAGGGACTGTGGTGGAGAAAGAGACAAAGAAAGGGGCTGAGGGTAAGAGACACAGGAAGGGGCTGGGTGTAAGTAAGAGACATACAAAGGGGGTTGCAAGACACACTAAAGAGGGAATAAAATACACTAAAGCAAAAAAGGGCTAATACATTCAAAAGAGGGGATATGAAACACTAAAGAGGGTAAGAAAGTGGGGGCGGGGCCTGACAACCAAGATGGCCAGCAGCAAATTCTGAGAGCTCTTGTACCAACGGACGAAAAAAACGTTGAAACCGAGTGACCTAATGGCGACAGCAGCTAATGGTAACCAGAAACAACCACAGGAAGACATAAGCAGTACAATGGTACCTGTCAGCAACCAGAGAGCCGCAGAAAAAGCTGCACCGGCCATGCAGACTAAACCAGAGCGGGAGGTCCGGGGGAGGCGGCCGATCTCCCGACAGAAAAATCCCAATCAATCGGGGCCATCAGGGCCTTACCGCGATGGCGGCACAGATGCAACCTGGGACAAAGCATACACTGACCAGACTGCCAAAGCACACACTGGCATTCTTTGACAGACTCTGTGCCTACCTCTGGTCAAAGCTCAAAGCCCAAAGACTGCCCTTCAGGCTGGCGAGGAGAGCAGCGGCGGCGTGGATCCTCCCAGCTGCCAGACGCTACCTGCGGGGAAACCCCCCTCATGTTTGTAAAGCAACCTCCCAATGGAGACGAAACCGGAGACCAGTGGGGTTGGAATCATGCTCCCCGGACGGCGACACCCACGCTCCCAGGCACCAGAGAAGGACCCGCCAAAGTCCACAACTTGCCTACCACCCAGCGGTCTCAGCAACCGCCAACCAGCACAGCAGAATCCACAAAACCAGCCGCAACACTGACCACGATGCAGCGGGCCGTTGACCGGCGGACTAAACCGGCGCAGAGCCCAACCACAGCCAGCGGGAGAAGGAACCCCAGGAGACTCTCCAGTATGTGCTGTACCATTACCGACTACAGGAGTCGGATGACTTCCACTGCTGCACTGTAACTCGAACTGTGGCTACACCATTAAGACCATACAGCCACAGAGGACTTTGTCCTGTGTTACTATCCAGCATTGTCTCCCTGAACTAGTTGTAAATGGCACACTTAACTGAACAAATGCACACCCCAGTATATTTTCCTGCTAAAACACTATGCTAAAAATCATACTCATTATAAGTACACCTGTTAGTAATGTCATGTAATACCTGTAAGCCTAGCATGTCTCGCACTACAGACAGTTCAGGAACCCACATAGGCAATTAAGCAGCATATAACTCATTAGTTAAGGTTACACACCTGAACAGTCCTCTGTTTTTACAAACGTGGTAGTACAAAGTAGGACAACTGTGGAAGGACGCATAAGCGCCCCACCGTCATGCTACAGATATGCAGATCAACTGCAATAGCCTGTCTACCTGACTAACAATATATACCTGTATTAAGCATGAGAAACTAACCTAACTTGAGCTCTGACCAAGCATGTATATAGCATAATTGTAAATGTACAGTTGAAGGTATAATGTTAAAACAGCTTATACTCTTAAAACATATCTTCAATCCACTCTGATACCCGAATGCTTAAGCCTGATTAAAACATAAAATTGTGCATGTTAATCTTGTGCCCCGCATGTTACGCATGGGAAAAGCTAGAGGACTGCCTTTGGGGCACCTCTCGCCTGTTTGTGTTATATCTCTGCATTGCAAAAATAAAAAATTCAAAAAAAAAAGAGGGTAAGAAAGTAAGAAATTAAAAAAGGGGGGGTTACAAGACACACACAGGTGAAGATGCACTTTTGTTTTGCGCGGGGGAGAGCAGCAAAATGCATCTTCGCCTGTGTAGCTTAAAATCTTTGCATCGACCCTGCACACACACACTGCCCGAACACTCACACACACACACACACACACTGCTCCACAATAAACACACTGTTCCCCAATACACACACAACACTGCCCCCAATACTCTCACACCACTGCCACCCAATACACACACAGCACTGCCCCAATACATACACAATCACACTGCCTCCGATACACACACTCTGCCCCCCTCATACCGACACTGCCCCACAATAAACACACACTGCACCCGAATACAATCACACACTGCCTTCCAACACACACACACACTGTTTAAACTGTCAGACTTCAAGGTAGTTCAAATGAGAACTGCTAGCATAGGTATAAACCATAACCTAATATTTAACTCACATTTTAGTTAATAAACCCCCGGGACTTCTTACCCAAAATGTGTATTTAGAATGGAAAAACTGATTCGTATTAATGAAAGCACAAAATACACAAAGACATGAAGTGCTATCTTTGATATTCATGCTTAGTAGCCTTCTTTTAGTAAACATAGATTTTCCTGTATTTTATTTGCTCACATGCTCACTGGAAAAATCTCAACAAAAGGCAACATTTGGGCTGTTTCCATCAGTCCACTACATGTTCCAGGAACTATCTTGTAATGTAGCAACAGTTATTGAAGGGTTGAGTAAACATGAATGGATTTAATGATATGTGATAAATAGGCCGAGCACTGTATTCATTTAAAAAAAAACAATGTTGTCCAAAGGCTGTTTTGTTGTAGACAAAATTTGCAACCTAGAATATGCTCAGATAAATGGTACGAGTAACCATCGGTTTAACCCCTTAAGGACACAGCTTCAGAAGCTTGTCTTACGCTTAATGACACAAGCATTTTTTGCATTTTCTTGCTGTATGCGTTCAACTGCAATTTGCATCTCTCTCGTTTATTGCACTGACACATATTATATACTGTTTTTTAAAGGACAGAAAGAGCTTTAATTTGATGTAACACACACACACATATATATATATATATATGTAAAAATATAAATGCTTATTTATTATTAAAAAAATACAGAAAAATGCAAAAAAAAGGAAAAATTTGTTTTTTGTACAGTTTTTGCAATAATAATGTGTGCCTAATTAGTGCAGGTTAAAGAAAGTAATTAAAAATAAATTAATTTAGTTGTTCTGATTTACAGAATATATAATGTGTCTGGGATTTTAATTTTTTTTTGGTAGTTACAGGTCACAAAATGATTTTAGAATTTGGTATGTTTGTCTTGTAAGCTTAATAGTCATAAAATAAAACAAAATTGCCACACAAAAGTATATATTTATATAAAGTAGACATCACAGGCTATTGTCCTAAGGTTGTTTTGACACTTTCTACGTAGCCATTTCACCGCTAATCTCTGCTAAATATTGGAGAATATTTTTGGCACACAAACTTATAACAAAGAACATGTGTATTTTGTAAAGTTGGTGTGTGCTTTTCCTGTACAAAGTTTTATTTTGTGTTCAGTTACTTCTGCTGAGTACAATGATACCCCCATTGTATGTCTTTGGCACTATTTCGTGAAGCTACAGTGCCATATAGGAGACCTGTCCGTTTCAACATTTACAGTAGAATTTTGAGAGGCGTATTTAATGGGCTTATGCTTCAATTTGGGGTATTATAGCAGTTTGATTGTTCAAAAAAAAAAAACACAAAGGCCTACCATTTGTAAAAGTAGACACTCCAGGGTATCTCATAAGGTTCATATTGTGCCTTAACATGGCCCCATTTTTTCACCAATATAGGCCAAAGTATGTGGTAAAAAATAATTTTGGCCATTTTTTACATATGGATTACATTTTTGCAGGGCATTTTGTACATTTCATATGTGCCACTAAGTTCAAACCCCCCAAATTATGCTCAGCTAAGTCTTCTGAGTAAAACAATATGCCCAATGTATGACCTAGACACTATTTTGTGAAGTTACACTGCTGTAAAAGAGACGTGACATGTTAAGGTTTTTAAGTGTGAATTTTCATGGAGGGTTTTGATGTGTCCGTGTCCCACTTTGGAGCACTTGAATAGGCTACATATTACAACTACACCATAAATCCATACCATTCCTTAACCCCTTAAGGACTAATCTGTTTTTGTGATGTTGTACATTTGCGACCAGGCATATTTTTACACTTTTGTGGTGTTTGTGTTTGGCTGTAATTTTCCGCTTTCTCATTTACTGTTCCCATACAAATTATATATTGTTTTTTTCAGGACAAAAGGGGCTTTCTTTACATACCATTATTTATATAATCTCATGTATTTTAATTTAAAAAAAATAAAAAATATGATGAAAAATTGAAAAAAATACATGTTTTTTGACTTTTACTTGAAAAATCTTTTACTCATCTACAAAAGCGAATGAAAAAAACTGCTAAATAGATTCAAAATTTTGTCCTGAGTTTAAAAATACCTAGTGTTTACGTGCTTTTTTGCTTTTTTTTGCATGTTATAGGGCTATAGGTACAAGTAGGATATTGCGGTTTCAAAACATACATTTTTAAAATTTATCAATAGTGACATTGTA